CCCTCTCACCCTCTCACCCTCTCACCCTCTCACCCTCTCACCCTCTCACCCTCTTACCCTCTTACCCTCTCACCCTCTCACCCTCTCACCCTCTCTCCCTCTGCCTCCCTCTCTCCCTCTCTCCCTCTCTCCCTCTGCCTCCCTCACCCCCTCACCCTATCTGTGACCGTTCCCGGTCTGGCAAGTACCTATAGTGCCAGGACGGGGACAGGCAGGCTGTAGCGTGTTTTAATATCCAAGCGTAATCTTTCAACCCTTTCCGCCGTGCTTGACAGGATATAACTTCAAATCGATCCCCTCGCTCATCCATTTCTTACTCTACTGTGCTCTACTGCACTGAGCTTAGGTTTCCATGATGCCAACGAGGGAGGAGGGAGAGCGACGCAACACAGGACATTTTCAGTAGCTTCTAATTACTCCATTACTACGAAGAGATGGCGCGAAAACGAAATTTCTCGTTTTCACAGTCTTCCTCATCCATACTCAAAAGTGCCGGACGAAGCCAAACGGTTGGACTCGATGTTACTGTATTTGTTTTCGAAAGGTGATATCATTCACACATTGATTTCCAAACTGGAATCCGGTGCGACACGAGCAGGATGAGTAGGGTATTGACTGAGACCTTCGCCTTAGTCTGCGTAGTTAGCGTTGGCACAGCCATAGTTACGGACCGAAAGGACTCGAAACACCTCCAAGCAGCATCCAGTGATGTTGTACTGCCAAAATGACAAGACAATGTCGCACTATTTTCTAGCGAAGGGGTTAATGCCACCCAGTTTCAGAAGCTGGGTCACAATTGACAGAGAACGTGGTGTTTTCTGGAATTGACAATCGAACAGCCCACGTAGATAACGGGCTCAATGTGCCTGTGCCTCCATTCTTTTGTCTATAAATGCAGCTTTCCCGAACTCCCGGTCTCCTGGAAGTCAGTCACTGCCCTTCGATTGTTGGGACTCGCACACGAAACCGAAAACATTTTGGCTGAAGTTCCTTGCCAGGAGCCGATATGGAATCTTCCATCAATTCAAATGCAACCACTGAGAGCTTGAAAGAGCTGTGGCATTCGTTCGAGCAAGCATGCATCGAGTCTCTCACCGAGCCGCCGACAGATATTGTCGACAGAGTGGCTGCTACCCTAGAAGACGCCATATCCTGGCTACGATCCCATAGTCCCCAGGTTTTCCTGCCGCGACACAGAGGCCCCGGCATCTGTCAAGCCCCGAAGGTGAGCTCGTCCCAGCTACCTTCATCATCTGAAGTAAAGTCATTGCCCAGAGATTGTTATGCAAAGCATCATCTGAAAACATTTTCACTGAGCAAGCTACAGAAGGAGATCGTCTCGACTTCAGCCGGGTCGCATCTTTTACCTGCAGGATCACCTTTGACCCGGCCATCCACAGACTCCATGGACGGAATTGATCCTCCATTGCCGGAAGATCTCATATGGTCAAGACTGCACCAGCCAGAAAAAGTTTCGCCGAAACGAGACAATAACCAAGGACCCTTGGAAACAGGCGGAGGCTCAGCACCACGAGAAAATGCTCATATATTTCAAGCCTGTCGGAGAAGCATGCAGGTGTTGACACCCTCGATCACGGACAATCCAGGTTCCCCTGATACTAGAGATGGCACGGTTCCTCTCACGATTGGAACCAGTGACGCGGCTGGCGAAGCATATGAATCTCACGCACACTGCCATTCCAGTGGCAGCCCCATGTTGGCTGGACCAAATGCCGGGCACGTGTGTTCAACGGGAGTAGAACCACCTGGTCGGTCACCTCGGAATGCCGCCTGTAACGTGCAACAACCAGAAGATCAGGAGCGCGGACAACGAGCAGGAAGACCGTTCCTGAGGGAAGAGATCAATGATCCGGACGACGGCGGGGTCGAGGAAGAGGAGGAGCTCGGCACACGTTCCGCGAATGGAAGGAAAAGAACATGTACCAATCGAACCTTTCACTCACCACAAAAGACGGCGAAGATGGAGCACACTCCTGAAGGGTTGGCTGAGCGGTTTGGGACGAATGATCGGGGTGCGCTCATCTCTACATTGAGAGAAGAGTGGGAAGATATTACTTCTTCGCAGCTTTTATCGGATACGGACACGACCGCACCGATTGGCATGTCCCAAAGCCCCGACGTACCAAGCTTCGTCAACTTTATCCTTCAACAAGGTCGTCAACTGGAAACGAACTCCCTGAGAGGCGAAGTCCAAAGCTTGAAGAATCGAATAGACTTTGCACATTACTATCAGCTTTACGTGGCCGCCTCCAACGATACCCGGAAAGGCGCCGACTCTCCCTTCTTGGCCTGGATGCGGGAGTGGTATCGACGACGTAACAGGTCACAGTCCCTGGTGATGAGCCGAGGCAAGGGTGCGTCTACAGTGGTCAAGGATTGTCTTGTCGACCTTCATCTCTCTGATTCAAGATTTAAGGGTGTGTCCCCGCGAAGCATGAGGCGCAGAGTCGAAAAATGGCGTGCCATCGGGGGATTTTGGTCCAAGTTGATCGAAGGCTTTGGACCTGGCATGTTACTTCTGGCCCCTTCCTGCGAGCCAGACTCCCGGTAAGGCGTTGCCATTTTGACGTACTGTACAGGGTTTTACGAAATCCCAGAAAGACCTCTGAGCTGATCGCTACGTAACAGATATCAATTCGGTGAACCCGGGCGGAGAGCCTTCCTGACAGCTCTCACCCAGCGGAGGAGTGCCTTCGACGCAGTTTTATCTGAAGCTAACCAATTTATGAACGAGAAATTTCACCACCAATTTGTTGATGTGTCTATAGACACATCATTCCCAAATTTTCCAGCACTGACAGACAATGGACAAGGACATCAGCAGGGATGATTAGGAAACACCTTTGAGACTTGCTTGGAGTTTGGCTTTGAGATTGCAGATATATTTTTAGGGTCTCGTCAAGTTGGACATCGCACCATAATTACTGCACAATAGGTCTCTTTTCAACTTCTGCATATTCGGAGGCAGATCACATGCTCCTGTACATAAAGAGGGAATGTGATTCACGTTTTGAACAAGACAAGGTATTGAATTCTAAAGAAGACTTTGTGAATGCTGTCAAGCCTACAACCATTTACCTAGAGCCAGACACGAATTTGCAGTGCAGCTGAGAACTTCACCATTAGAGCGGTGCGTTGAGACGTTAAAAGGTCCCATTCGTCTCGTAAAACCTCAACATTTTCAGCGGACAGTGGAGCGCCAGCCATTCGGTGGTCAAGATATGTCTCTGCCCATTGCTCGTATTCGCGACAGCTACAGGTTCTCCAGAACTTGAGAAGTGTAGATCTTCTACTTCTACCACCTCTTGCTCCCAGTCCGTTTGAAGAACCTGGCTCATCCAATCGACATGGAAGGAGAAGTTGTCATTATTGATAATTCTTTCCACCAAGCCGCTGGGCTCGTTGGTAGGTTGCGTCGGAGGCTGTCGAGTTGTGTATCGAGGAGGCTTGTGGAATGGAAGCGGCGTCGATCCGATGAGGTAATGATGGACAAACAGGTTAATCAAGCAGTCACTGTTGTTTGTCAGCCTAAGTGTACTTTGTTTATAGAGTCTTTCGAGGATCCTTACGGGAGAAGATTTTCTCTCGGTTCCCAGGTGTTTTCGGCATCTCGATAACCCAACCATTTGATTTCATAGAGCACTTCCTGACGATCCAGATCGTACTTGGAACGTTTGATGCATTCGACTTGAAACTTTTCCAACTGACCTTTTGGTCGTGATTTCTCTGTCGGCGACCTCCGGTGCTCCTGTTGATCCATGTCGTTTCCAATGATAAGTGGTTGTCCAGCAAGACTGGTGCGTGTCTCGTGTTTGGACCGCTGGAGGAGAACCTCGATGAGACGGCTGCGTAGATTAGGTCGTGTGGACAGCGTAACTGTACTCCCATCGTTGCAAGTGTAGTCTTTGCCTCTTGGGGCCGTCTTTAGTATGCTGGAATCTGTGCAGTTTGCCATCTCAAAGGTTGCGGAGTTGTTCATCGATCTATGAGCCAGTGATATACACGACAGCAATGCTACCACTAAGAGCCACGCAACTGGAAAGAAGAAGGCTAGGTGGATTATGCCGTCCTCCATGTATCCTGCAACAGTAACTCTACTGAGATTCGAGGGCACTGCTTAAATACTGTGGACGAAGGACAATAATGTATGGGGCGTATCTTTTTATCAATAAATGCGGGATATTTCATCTGGAGGTTCTGTAAGCACTACAGTCCATTAGCAGCCATGGTTCTCGCGAATGTCCAGACCTGTTGAGAGGGAGTGTATTATTGCTGTCCAGTTTTTCTCTCCACAAATACACTACAGTTCAGTAGAACGGGGATAGGGGTCTACTGTAATAAGGTAAACATAAGGTAAATATAACTCAGAGCATATCTCTGTCCAGTCTGTCTCAACTATTGTACTTCTGGTTCTCCGACAGATGCAAACTCCAGTCGATATGCAGTCGCTATTGAATTGTTTAGCCATCTTTGTCTTCACACTCACCAGTGCGACATGTCTCTTTGTTTGGATCAAGATAATCTCCCGACATACTTCGTGGTCAGGGGACGTAGAATCCGTCGACTCTGTGGCGTGGCACAGTGATGACAGCGAAACTGATCGTTGGGGCGGTAAGGCCAGAGTCAACTCACAGGAAGACATTTTCTGACAGCTACAAGAACACGACACAATAAGAACCGCTCATTGAGGGACAATGGTACCATTTGAGGTGGCCCAACATAGGGCAAGAGTGATACTGTATATTGTCTCGTGAAAATTCTGTGGGCGGCCTGCAGTTCGACTCTGCATGGTAGCCTTGCTACTCTCTGCGTGGAGTTAAAATTGCTTCGGTACAATACATTTTAGAAGACGATCACTTCCATATCCGCTCAGAAGTGCTACAGTATAGCCCGGTGCGGTACCGTGTCAGGAATGCAGTGTAGAAGACCCGCTTAGTTCTCTTTGTTCATGTATGCACTTGCAGGTATGCACTTGCAGGTATACACTTGTAAGTGTAGGCGTTAAAAAGGGATGTTCCTGGCAAATGTCATCATCCAAGTCTGTCACATGGCTGGCTGGTAAGACATTAAGTAGCTTTAGAATTATCTTTTCACATTTTCAGCCTTGCTCTGATGCAGAATTGTAGTTCATAGGTTCAATGGCGCATATATATGATCTCCCAGACGAACTTTTGTTCCTGATTGCCCAGTATCTATCAATCAAGCCTTATGGGACGAGCGACTCCTGTGGAGATTTATTTGCAATGTCACTGACAGCAAAACGTCTTCACTTTGTCACGCGGGAACTGATTTATAAAGCGGTCTTTTTGTCTTCTCCAAGGGCCACAATATGTTTTGCTCGGACTCTCTCACAACATCCTGAGCTAGCATCATTGGTTCAATATTTTGAAGCAGGGGCTGGTGAAAGGCATATTGATATTCATGACATCTCGGACCCTGGCACGAAACCAACGTTGAAGACCACGATATTCACTCAAGAAGAGATTCAGAAGTATTTCTTACCACCCCTGAGGAGATGGCATTCAGTTATTCCAGGAGTAGTCAAAGACCTTCAATCCAACCAAGGGGCTATCTGGGTTTCAGGAACCCTTTCTCAACTGCATGGTCTCACCGAAGTCGAATTGCAGCTAGGAAGATCAGCGCAGTACCTGAACAGAATGATAAAATGGTCCAGCGTCGAGGCCAAGGGAGAGCTCCCATTCATGAGTTTGGTCAGTCTCAGCCTTTTCGCCAACGAGGACGCTGGCGTGGACGTGAAGTCTATTCTTCGGCTGCCCTCCTTGGAAATCTTCAGATCTTGGAGTCTGCGTGGGTCCTCTCTTCCAAACATGGTCGGGGATATTACCTCACCCCTTCGTTACCTCGGACTCTTTCGTCCTTACATGGATGAGGCTGAGGTCGTGTCATTGCTTCGATGCTGCCAAGAGTTACGCCAGTTCGACTTGCAGCCCATTTTAGGAATGACTCCTGGAGTACCATGGTATCACGCCAAGGCAGTGGCACAGGGGATCAGTGCCGGGCTCTATCACTGTCGACAGACCCTGGAGGTATTGACTATTGATACCTGGACCACCTCTACACCTGCTCAGCCCGTCGATTTCACCGGATATCAACACCTGACCAAGCTCACATTACCGGCCACAGAGGCTGTAAAATTGGCAGATACTCGTAACCCTCCAGCACGAATGGCCCTCTTTCCAAAGCCTTTAAAGTGCTTGGTCTTGGTCATGGCGCAGCGTGGAAGAACTGAGACCCTTCGCTCGGCACTCCTTCAATACGTCACAAATCAACAGCTCTCGCCCGCCCTCAGGACCTTGGATGTTATCTGGGAGCGCAGCCACACATCCAAGGTCCCTGAATTAAGGGAAATTGAAGATGCTTGTGCATGTCGTGGAATTATCTTCAGCTCAAGGCTCTCGGATCGATAGGTTGTCGACGGTAAATGATATTATTACTGTTCTCCGCAAGGTCGGGGGTTTTATGATATATGAACGAATGCGAAGGATTTAATCACCTATTTCTTGGAGGACAACTTTGCTGTGGGAAGAGAGAAGAGCCTATATTTTGAGTGGTTGATTGTTATATGGTTGAGGATGGGTGAAAAAGAACGAAATTATAGGTGCGCTATTGGTCTGAGATGTGCACGAGGCTGCAGCCCCTGACGCTAAAATCTTGGCTTGGCGATCAGCCACAATCTACAGATCGTATGTAAAAGTTCCAATGACACGCACAGACCCTGGTGTACTGTATCTCTCTGCCATTGTGCATGATGTCTGCTAAGTTTGTCGTATCCAACAGTCTGAATTCTTAAGGTGGCTGAGGCGACTGAGTGTGAGTGAAAGGGTTGAAGACCAAACTGGGAATGCAAATCTATTACATTAAATCTGCTGTGCTCGGACGCTTAATGCGAGACTTATAATCAACGACAGCCAATTTAAGCTCAGAATCACACGTCAGCACTACTATAGTAAAACTTATTGTGCCGAGTGCCTCTATACTCCTGCCGCTTTCTTCCCCATTGCCTATTTTAATCTCAATTTAGGTCAACTATCGAGAACCCTGTTTCTAATATTAGAACTCAGAGCATCAGGTATGCAGAAGGTGATCCATCCAGACCTTAGAGCACTGAGAACCGACACTCTGCATCTAGGAAGGACTTCACATATAATTACCGCCAAGTTTTCTTCGAAGCCGCCCTGGTTGCCGTTTCCAAAGTATCACCACATAGTAAAGAATTGATGTTCCATTGGAAAAGAGTACGACATGCTCGAATTCAAACGATTGTTGATTTTTCTTACGCCCTTTGCCCGGCTGGTCATGTCTACACCTTTCGATACGCCAAATCTTTTTCGCCGTCAATGTCCTGGCGATGCACTTACCGTCCTTGAAGGTTCCACTTGTGAAATGAGCCAGGCAGATACCCTGGCATGCTCGAACAATTGTTTTGACATAGTGAGTTAAGAGGTGTTCAAGGGCGAGCGACCAACTGACTGTTTCCAGCTTCAATGTACTCAACAATCTTCCGATCCAAATACGTGGCTGACTTCGACCATAACTCCGAATACGCCGTTCACCTGGACTCCTATTGCACATTGTGGATTTCCATTCTGTCAGGTAGCGAATGATCAGTATGTATGTATGGGTTAGCTTGACGAGAACTAGCCATTTTCGTGGGTTGTTCGGTCGAGGAAAGAAAAAGAGAGTTGGTTGCCACTTAGGAAGTAAGTTTGGATACGGTGAAGACGGAACAGGCCAGAGAGATGATCTGAGCGAATCGGCATGTAGGGGGGCCACAGTAAGATGGTTTTGGATGCAGTACCAAACTCGCGAGGAAAGCACTATACGGTAACAACCACGGAAATTTGCAGGACCACCACAACGTAATGTAGCTAAACAGTCCCGCTTTCAGGAGCTAGAGCAATTCCACCATTGTACTTAAATATCGTCCACAGCCCTAATAACTTCCTACCACACCCAAGTCTGACTGACACCTCATCACCATGCCCGTACCCATGCAGCCTGGATCCCATCGGAATCTCTCTCGTTCGGCCCAAAATAGAGAATCCCGTATCGATTTGGGAATGCTTGGGAATGAACCCGGCTCCAACTCCAAATCATCGACTTCTGCAAATCACCTCCAACAGGTCGCCAGGACAGCGGAAAGGATCAGCGCATCATGGAAAAGACTGTCCCCCATTAATGAGACGGGAAGATCTGTGGACAAAGGCGTTGGAAAGCAGAGTGAAAAGGTCACCGTACCTGATATGCGGAAATCTAGCGAGTTTCCTGCCCGCCAGCCACCCTCTGGCAAGGGAGAGCCGATTACGATCCGGCATGGTTCACCATGGAAGACGTACGACGATGGATATGAGCTCATGTTCCAGGACTATGTCACCGTCGGCACCCGTTTACCGCCGCATTCAGGCAAAGTTGCCATCAAAACTTACAACAAACGTGAAGGGCAACGAACTCTCGAGATGTTGAACACAGTTCGCCACGCGAAATTTATAGCCTTGATCGATGTTTTCGAGTGGGATAAGAAGTACTTTGCTGTATTCGAACATGTTTTCATTTCGCTGGAACAAGTGGTCGGTTGTACGGCTTACCCAACGGAACGACAGCTCGTGGCAATTCTGGCACAGGTGCGTCGATGTTCTAGGTGCTGGAGACGTGTAGCTAACGAGAGAAGGTGCTGGAAGGTCTGTGTTATCTGTCTTCCATTGGACTCCAGCACGGGTCGTTGGTATGCTCCAACGTACTGCTGAAGCCGAGCGGAGACGTCGTCCTAGGTGAACCTCCAACACCGGTCAGATAGATTATGACTGACCGATTGCAGCCAACCAAGAGCATTGTTGCGCCGAAGAGGAACCAAACACGGCTGACGTGAGGGCGGTCGGGTATATCGCGACGAAGCTGATGCAGAAGTATGTCAACGAGGACGGATCTATCGGAATCGAGAATTCCAATCGCTGGCCTGCGAATTCTCCCTCTGTCAGCTTTTTGTCGATGACCACTTCTGCAGCATCCGTGTCGGAATTGCAACAGGTGAGAAGGCCCTCAAATCACCATGACTCCTCCAGGCGCTAAGTTTCAAAAGCACGTTTTGTTGCAGCGCCCGTGGCGCAAGGCCGACTTGATGTTGTTAGAAGAGCTGGCTGCATTAAACGTCCGACGAGCCTACAGGTACGTCGATAAGATTGCGGGAATGGAGCATTGAATCAAAGTATTCGCTCTGTCATATGACGCAAAACTTCAAATCATTGGGTAATACGCACTTAAATGCTCTCAAGCAAGCCTCACATGCACTTTCATTCTACGTGACTTATGTTGGAGTCAAGGGGCCCTGTCAGCTAGAGTAGTGAGATTCACCTAAGGCGCATCGGATTTGACCGGCTGAATGGGACCACCTGCACTGCCTGCTTGGATCCAAACACAGCGCAGTGCTGGGATGATCATTCTATCCCGGGCTATATATACTTCGTTCTTCCCAATCATGAACAGTTAGCCCTCTTTCTCAGTCAATATTCCGTTCAAACGATTCAATTCTTTGTCACCATGGAGATCACTCAGATCTATGCGGTTGTCATCGCTGGCATTACTTTGACATTTCTATTGCGAACCGGGGTGTCATCGTTTGCTCCCAGGATCCTCGCCATCGCTTCCCAGATACACCAATATTTAAGTTATACCTATGTTCTCAATCGCCACGCCTTGATGGGTCCCTGGACTGTGACAGCAGTCTTGCTGCACGTAATATACCTAACAGTCAACGTCGTTTGTTTGAGCGTCGGTGTCACCAATTTGTCGCTCGCCGGACACCGCGCAGGGACGTTGGCGGTCGTCAATTTAGGCCCGTTGTTGAGTGGTCTTCATCTCAACTTTCTGGCTGACTTGCTGGGTCTCTCTGTGCGCGACGTTCGAGCTGCACATCGCACTGTTAGCTTCGTCGCTTTTGGGCTGGTCGCTTTTCACGTCATTGTGGCCGCCGTGACCGAGCGGGTGTCATTTCGGAGAGAACTTGAGAAACCGTTCGTGGCTCTCGTAAGATTCCTTTTCCCTGCCGCTTGTCTCACAGCTAACCTATACAGGCCGGGTTGGCACTCTGCATACTCATGATCACTCCACAACGCTTGGTCCGGAAAGTGTCATATGAGATCTTTCTTCGATCTCACCAGATATTGTCGCTTCTCTGTGCTTTTTCAATCTGGGAACATCTATCGTCAATACGGTGTCGGGATCGACTGTATCTTATCATCTTCCTAGCCTTGCTGGCCTTGGCATTCGTCTGCGAAGCCGTGTTGGTACTCGTCCGCAACGGATGGTCCTACCGTAAGCGCTCACGGGTCACCGTCACGAGCTCATGTGGAATGCTAAAAATGAAGGTGCATCTCTGCAAACCTTTGAGCATCGAGCCAGGCCAATACATCAATCTCTGGATGCCCTCCGTAGGTCTGGGAGCCTTTTGGCAGAGCCATCCATTTATGGTCGCCTCTTGGTCCACTGAGCCGCAAAAATGCCTAGAAATTTTTATCCAGCCACGGCGAGGCATCACGAGGGACCTGCTCCAGACCGCTCGCCCAGATGGACCTTTCGAGTACAAATGGGCCATGTTTAGCGGGCCACACGGCAACACGGTCCCGGTTGGTCAATGTGAGACGGTCCTGTTGATCGCTGATGGAGTGGGAATTGCCTCTCAAGTGCCATACCTGAAGAAGCTGATTCATGGCTACCACGATCGTCGTGTGGTCACTCGTAGAATCCATTTGATCTGGCAGATCAGTGATATTGGTGAGTACCCCGACTCCAGACCCGATCTCTGCTAAATGATCTCAGATGTCGGCATTGCCGCGCAACCCTTTGTGAACGATGTCCTGGATGAGGACAAACTGGGGAGCGGTGGTGTACGTGGTTCGTCCAATCAATCTTTTTCCGTCACTGATCAAATGATAGATCCTCCAAGTCTCGATCTACGTGAACCTCGACGACATTTCAAAGATCTCATTCGGGAGACGAAGCACCGTCTATCCCGGAAAGGCGAAGTTCGACGAACTGGTGGAGAAGGAATTGGCTTTCCATGATAAATCCCGAGACGACCAAATGGAAGGCTTTCCGGGAAGTCTTCCCTCAACCCCAATTCCCCCCGAGTATCGAACCCAATGTAAGCGGTCCCGATTCCTCTTCTCGATTGCAAGTTGACCAAACCCAGACGTACCAAACGTGGCGCGCCGAAGTGCTCTTTCCGAGTACTCGACAGATGAATTCATGCAACCATGGACAGATGTGCCACTCCAAAGTGACGTCGGCATACTTCATCCGCCAGCACAGGAGAAGAGGCGAGCGTCCGAATTACGGCATGCGTCCCAGGGCTCGACCCTCATCCTCAGTGAGCATTACCGTTCCTTGAAAAAGACGCAGACTAATCCAATTCAGTGTCAGCATTTGCGGAAACTCGGGACGTTTTGCGGAGATTGGCACGACAGCATCTTCATGAGAAGGTAACACTGGTCGAGACGGATTTCCAACCCTTCAAGAGATAGGTACAGGAGGGGGCTTCTACGCCACATCATAGGTTCCCTAGTCTCAGATCAATCATAAAACATGCACCAGTTCCGTAAATGAACCTAAGGGAGACAATATTCCTTTGTGTAGGTCGCTCAATGTTTATGTTGTGGTTCCATGCCATCCGAGGCTCGCAGTCCAAATAAGGTTTACGCAACTTTTTTGGGCCTGCGCATATCACGTAAGCAATACTTATCTTTTCCTCCAGTAAAAGATTAAGCTGGACTTGGCACGCATGAGCCCTCTAACATCATCACCTGCTGCCCGGGCCTAGTCATTCCTACCCGTTTCCCCAAGTTCTCAGTACAAGCGACCCCGCCGACGCTTTGAAGAGATTGATAGAATATACAAATGTGGCTGGAATGGCTGTGAAAAGATATATGGCACCTTGAACCACCTAAACGTGCACGTCAATTCGCATTCTCATGGCATAAAGAGAACACCAGAAGCAAAAGGATTCGCCGAGATTGGAAGGCCCGTAAGACGGAGGAGGAAGAACGACGAAGACAGGCGGTCGCTGCCACCTGCCAAATGGATGGCGCATCCGGAGAGGCAGATCAAGATCAAGGTCCCAAGGCAAGGCGAACGAAACGGAGCCAAACCATCGTTCCCGCTTACAGTACCATCTTTACGTTCAACAGCCAAAGTCTGTAGAAAAGGGGCGACCTGAACAGGATCCTGGGGCTGGATTCGGCTCTATCCACACGATTTAAATATAAAATGGATCTCCCTTTCCACCTTGTTGTGATCGCACAAACGCCGTACTGTATCGAGAAACCTCTTATTTAACATTTTTTTGTGATCGCACAAACGCTGTATCATATTCGAGAAACCTCTTATTTAGCATTCAAACAAAATGTTGTGCGTCTTTTGTATCATCATCAACAGGGGGCCTCAATCATTCCGTCCAAAACAGAGCCCAAAGAAAAGACATAACGCCCAAGAAGCAACGGAGGCGCCACCCACCTACACCAGTGCTGCAGTTGAAGGGGTTACCTCTCATGACGAGATTTGTTCCCAAAAAGAGATTATCGACGCTCCCTCACCTGAATCTTAGCACAACTCAATGAGCAGACAAGGAATTTGCAATGAGTGTCCGAGCGTGACATCTCACTTGGTTGACTTAGATAGAAACGAACCCTATTCAAGGTTGTATCTCAACAATAAAGATCACAGGATAGTCTGTGTCACGGATCCACTGTACTGTATCGCTTTGTCATGTTCATAAGTTATTCGAAATCGAGAAAGTTGCAATGTGTCACCAAGGGGAGGGCGGTTGTGTGTGTGTATGTGTGTATCGGAACTCAACACGCAAACGAACGCACTCAGGGACAATATGGTCAACATCAAGACGGAATTGTCTACACATCAGAACAAGCAAATGGGCAGCGAGGGTAACTATCTCAGTTTGGTGTATGGCCCGCATGGTCAGGTCTACCAGTGCAGACCTAACGATCTAAACGATTGTATACCTTTTATGATATTGTTGCAGTGTCACATTGTGTTCCCCTTTGAATTAGTCACTTTTTCGCTCATCTTCTCGTAACTCAACGGATGGGAAATGGAACGGTGCTACAAGCTGCTAAGCAAGGGAATTTAGCTTACCGCGGTCAAAAATATGAATATTTGGGTGACACGCTCCATTTCCCTGGCCCGCACATCTCAAGACATCAGAGTGTTAAAAACTCACTGCGATGGAGAAAGGAGGATCCTTTATAGTCAGTCACACAGGGTAATCCACTACGAATTTGGAAAAAGCCGCCAGATCGAGGTACATCGTCAATAAAAGCAACGACCTACTGTAGGACCTGTTAAGGTGTTGCTTAAATTACCTACTTATATAGGTTTCGCGGAAAACGAGCTCAACTCCTCCATTTTGTCTTTCACTAACTTACCATTATTCCTCGGACTTCCTTACAACTATAGCCCGTTCGGACCTATATAATCCTGATACTGTAACAGTAAGATCACTGTATCAAGATCAAGTCATCAAGATTTCCAAACACTGCAAACCACGCGCCATTATTAGCCGGTCGTTCTTGTCATTTGCGCACAGTTAGGCCTTGGAAATATTGCCCATCAAAAGGTTTCCGCGCCATGCGAACCAGCCGAGCCCGACTGGAGGATGCAAAGTTCGAAACGGAAAGGCGCCGGCAACATCGAGGGACCGCCCGTATCTCTCTTGATGTCTTGAAGGTTCAATTCGAAGCTCATGAGCAACTTGATAGAAACAACGTTGAACGTCTAAAAGGCATCTACCGACGCGAAGGATGTCGACCACAACTCATCAACAATCGTATTTTGGTCGAGATTGATGAAACCTCTTTCGATGCCGCCCTTGATCTTTCTGGTGTGGCGGCCGCGGATCTGTTCACCCCCCAAAGAGATGACTACCCTGAGCTCCGGTTTCCCACCGGTACCGAAGTCATCTGCCTCCATGGCAAGCACCGTATCCAAGCCGGTCGCGAATTTCTGTCTCCTCGGGACAAATGGTGGATCGCTGACATCTACCTTGGCGGTGAGTTACAAAGCGTCACGGTGAACGCTGCGGACTGATGTACCGCCCAGGTTTGTCGACGGATGTCAAGCGCTGCCTCGTTGAGGAATACGCGAACGAAAGCATCCCCACGGACGGAATGATCTTCTACAAGATCCGCCTGTACCACTTTCAGCGCAACCTTAGCTTTGAATTGCGATGGTGGGCTCGCCTCCGAGGTTGCCGGAGTCGTAATTTGAGAGCACTGTTGAAGCACCCTGAACTCGTAGCCGCCTTCGACGCTCTGCTCGATGTTCCCGGCCTATGGGGTGGGATGTTACTCACCACGCTTCACAAAGTGCTGGGACTGAAATCTGACGATGTAGGTGGTGCTACCAAACATTGACTGGCATGGACCGACTCGTCGCAGGAGATACTGAATTATCTCGAACATGTCCGACGAGTTTGGCACGATTTGGTTGATGGCGACCCCAGTGCGCTGCAAAAGTTTGATTATCGAGACGTGAAGGCGCTGGAGCTCCGAGCTCCAGGTGTATCCTCAAATGACGCAGAGGAAATTCAAGCCCAAATACGTGCCGGTCGAATTCTGAGAGCCTTCAGTGAGGAGGAGCGACGGTACATCATCGAGCGGTTATGCGAATTTAAGTACCTGATTCCATCCTTGCATACATTCTTCCGGGATATCACTTACTGGGAGGCATGCGTCGGTAGCGTCAAGCACCTGATGACCATATCGCGCCGCGACACGATCTTGTCGGCCTTCGAACGTGGCTTTACCGCCATCAATCAACGCGATGACCAAGTTGTGATCCAAGTGGGCGAGACGCGCTTTGAAACACTCCAAGGCCCGCACGATGCACAGGTGGACCTCGGTTATCGCCAGATCGTCGCCTTTGCCATGAGACACTTTGTCGAAATCCCACGAGAGCCGATGAGTGACGATGTGACAGTCCGACCTCGTGCGAAGGCGAACCGAGCCACACTACGCCAATTCGCGGAATTGGCCATCCGTGTCGGGTTCGAGTCTCCTGAGGTTCGTAGGCTTATGGATACGGAAGAATTACTGCGACCCTCTATTGCTCCAGAGCTGTCCAGACCGTTACTCACCACTTCAGGCCCTGGAGAAAAGCTGCAAAGGAGATGCGGGTTACCCAACTTAGACAATTTTCAGGACGACCAGAACTTCTTGTTCCTCCACCACCTGCACAGCCCGCAAGACGAGGTCGGAGAAGGCATCACGTCATTTTTCGTCCTCAGATCGCTTTATTTCGCCTTCATGGGGGCTTCTAATCTCTTGGACGGCTGGTTTGCCCAGATATGGAACCAATTAGCGACCTCTCACGACAGCATTGATGCCACTGAGCAACGTTCTCGGCAGGAAGAACAAGCAAGGGAGGAGTATGCAAGACGTGAGCAGGAGCAACGTGAACAGGAGCAAGCACGACAAGAACAAGCACGACAAGAACAAGCACGACAAGAACAAGCACGACAAGAACAAGCACGACAAGAACAAGCACGACAAGAACAAGC